ATACGTCATCCGAGGGGAAGCCCGTGCGCACTCATAAGATTTCCTCGAACCGTCTACTTTTAGAAATTTGTCATGGTAATTTCCTACAATTAATTTTAGCAATGTCACCTGAGGGGGAGCCCATAACCGCAATTAATTGATTTACCGACAAATTAGAAATGGAGGCCTTAGGAATTTTACAATTAACTTTAATTTAAAATCTCTTCTCAAACTTAGTATAATTTAATGAGGATTTTTAACTATTTATACAATTTCAAATTAATCTATGTTAATGCAATAATTAATTAACATACATATTAATTCATGCAATTCTAAATTAATCTATGTCAATGCAATAATTAATTAACATGTTCAATAATTTATGCAATTCTAAATTAATCCATGCCAGAACATAATTAATTACATGCATAATTTATTGACACAATTCTAAATTAATCATATGCATTACATAATTAATTAGCATGCATAATTAATCTTGCAATACTAAATTAATTTCATACAAAAACATAATTAATTAACATGCATAAATAATAATTTAACGGCATAATAAATTTAAATAAATGAATAAATAAATCCACTATTATGGCCATTAAATATTGAGTCTCCTTAAACAAGGAAACTGTGACAGTCCTTTCCCTGTTCAACTGGAACTCCTTTAAGCAGTAGAATCCTGGTTGATCTTGTACTGCTTGGACAAGAAGGCAAAACCTCTCCACCTCCTGCAGCCAACCGCCGACGCCGCTGGTCGGAAAAACGCGCCGTTTTCTTTTTTTTTTTTTTAATTCTTCGAGGCTCGTTGATCTCTTGTGATCTCCCGGTTATCAACACACGATCACAACACGAAAAATATAATTTACAAAATTACATAATTCGATCCTAGATCCAACGAATGGATGTACATGTTTTCTAAACAAATAATTAAATCTATCCGGTCAACCCCCGGGCGAATAATTATTACAAACATTCATCCATAAATTCCTCGACATGCCCGAGGCTTTAAAAACAAATTTAAAACCATACATCACATTCAACAACATTCATCAAACACATAATCGGCCATAATAGTGGATTAACTATTTTCCTGCAAAACCGAGTTATGCAAATATAATCCAATATATGGCTGCGTTTGAACACATCTTGTCAAATAAAACCGTAAAAATTCGAACTTTGTACAAAACGAATTAACCAAGTTCTCTGATACCACTTGTTGGGATCTGTGAGGATCTCGTTATGTACAAATCACGAATTCAATAGCAAACGTAAACCTATGCGCAGCGGATCTAAAGGTTTGACGTAGGAACTTACGGCTTAAAATTTATGTAGATCTGGCTGACCACGAACGGTTGACCGCAATTGATTGACCGCAAATCACGTCTTGGGTTGCACGAACAAGATCAGATCAAAATCGGATCAAACGGATGCAAACAGATCAAAACGAATTTTTGCAGTCAGGCTCCTTCCGGCGGCGCGTGAGGGCTCGTGCGGCATCGAAATCCGGCGACGTCGGCGGCGATGGAAAGCTCTCGTCGAGACGGTCGTCTGGGTATACTGTACGTCTCAATCGGACTTTCGGTTAGTTCTGTAGGTCAAAATATATTTCGTCTCGGTTTACCTACAGATCTTCTATTGTATTACTCAGTACACCCTTCTTCAATTTGTACCAGTGGAGCAACAAGAAGAAGATAAAGCTCGAATGAGATCTAGAGAGAGAGAGGCGTGTGAGGCATGTATCTCGTGTGAATGAGACTTCTATTATCTTCTCATTAGCTTAATGATGTATATATAGAGCTACAGTAGGGACCCTAAGGAGATTAGGAAAAGAGCTCCTTAATTAATTAGACTAACTGTGGGCCAAGCCCACTCCTCTAATTAATTAAATAATATTAATGGGCCACCAACATTATATTATTGCACTCCCTCTTCCTAGCCCAAACTACATTTGAGACTCCAATAATAATTATTCGATTTACCTCCCCACGTTTAAGATATAATGTCCATTAATTAATTCGATTACTGACAATCAAGAATTAATTAATTTATTATTATTTCACCGAAGCTAGCGCTCGTTCATCACATTCTTATTATGTCGGAACTTAATCCACCTGCAGGGTTTAACATAACAATCCTTCATGAACTCACTCCGGGGACATCATCAAACTAACGCACATAGTGACGGTAAATATCCTAACAGCACATCATATATATAATAATATTACCCAAAACAATAGGAATATTAATCCAGCGAACTGAACCTCACCCATGTGCATCAAAGTAATATATATTATATATATCTGCCTGTTTAATATCTTACGGGTTAAGAGAAGCAGTAATTAACCGAGGCCTAGTTCATTTACGACGATCAGTATAAAATGAACTTCTCCTCTCTGGGATCCTGTTCAATACATAAATGTACTAGTGCAACTAATCAGTCAAGACAAACTGTACAGTTGACACTACAACCGTTCGAATGGGGTGTTCATGTCCATCTAGGTTGTGAACAACTATTCTTGTTCGCAAGTAACTGACAGAGTGATCTTCGGTTCGCCCGATGACGACCCACCCTATCTAAGTGCAGAACAACAGAACGTAGAACTTGTTTAATCTAACATGATTCTCATTCATAAAGGGTAAATGTGTAATATCATGCAAAGCCAAGCTTTCAGTATATAACACTAACATGAGGTCCTAAGGTTAACGAAAACATCCGACATCTTAATCCGTCGGTTGCTCCATGAAGATCCATCCATGAGGTATATTGACCAAGGTGTGCATCTGGATCAGAGGTACCATCATAAAGACCGATCTGAAGGACCTTAACTTTGGTGGGAAGTGGTTCCCTTGTCAAATGAGGAGCCAATGGAGTGTCGACTTCTAGATAAACGTCTTCCGAGATAGGAACTCGTCGTTGGGATTCCTCAGGACCGTCTCGCCTAGTTTCTAACTCGGCAATTCTTTTCCTTAACATTTCCAACTCTTCTGATTCACGTCTTAAACGATTCCTTCCGATAATATGACGTAATTCATCGTTCTCACGTCGGAACCGATTTCGTTCAATAGTATGTCGTAAATCAGATTGTTGATCATGTTGTGAAGTCGCCGGTGACGAAGGCACCGGTTGCTGTTGATGACGCCCAGAATGACTTTCAGCAGTAACTTCTGGTTGAATTCCTTCTGGGGATAATTATTAACAGGGACTACGCCACGATCACGAGCGACAGTATTGCGTTGCGACTCAGGTGTTCGTGGGTGTGAAGTTGCATGAGACGCAGCAGGAATACTATTTTGTTGTTGAACAGACGACGCCCGTTATCTGATTTGAGGATTTGAAGCATGAGCTTGACTAGGAACCGTTACAGTTGGTCCTGCTCTTGTTTGTGCCATGAAATTGGATAGATTTCTGAGAAACTCTGGGTCTTGGAACAGAACAGAGTAATCTCTCGTCATAGATGGTATAGTTGAATTATCAGTTGTATGAGCGGGAGGACGACTAGTTCCAACGTCTGGAATTCGTTCTTGTCGCCCAGAACTTGACATGATGATGTTGCGTGTTTGAATGTGTTCTGTATACACGTATGTAACAGATCGGAGGTTCAAGCCGCCCTCCTTCTAGCGCCAAACTGTTGTTATATGAAATTAACAACTAAAAATTTCGAAACAGCAAGGTGTGTTTAAGCAAAGATAAATGTAAAATTGCATTTTATTGATAAGTTCACAAGAGTACAGGAAGTCGGTTTTGTGTTCTTGACCGAAATCATTTTAAGTCCATGTACAATGTGCGGAAAAAGATCCTCGTACAACCATAAATTCTGCTATTTATAGTACAGTTGTTTTTGTCTTCTTGTTTGAGATTGATAAGATCGCATTTAATGTTGAGCAGCTTCAATAGAGCGGTGAGTTGTAGAGCAAGGGAACATCAATGATTGCTTCCTATTTTGATGGTCCAATCGAATGTTTACAGCTCTTTTCGTTTGGATATTTGATTTTCTCGGATGTCGGTTGCATGGATAATTTGTGATATAGCGGATCATGATGTCGATGAAGTTGGTCATCGGATCCTCTAAACAGTTGGTTCTACCTTTGACTATCTGAAAGTCGGTAATTAATTCAGCTGATACCGACTTGAGCTAAGTTCAGTTATTTCTGGAGGACCATTAACTGAACAGGATAGTTAATCTTTAGCTTAATCTCTTTAAACCAAGTCGGTCATCAACAATATGGTTGGAATAAAAAAAATATGTACAAACTAATTAACTATTCCGATATACAATTAAAAAATAAGATTGATAAGCGTGAGCTTATTTGTTAAACTAATCCGATCTCTTATAAAATGATATTTTGAATATAAAAGTTATACCAAGATTTTAATACTTCTTAGACTCCACAATTTACAAAATATCTTTCGTTGCTAAAACAATATATCTACAATCCAAGCAACAAATCAAAAAATATATACTATATATTTGCAATAAATCAAAATGCACGTTCTAATCACACTCTTTTGGTTTGGTGAAAAAATGGGTATATTGGTATAAGAACTCGGTTTCATTTTTAGGAAAAAGTAATGATTCTTTTCATTTTTTCTTAATCAAAGTCTTGAATTTTATTTTTTTAAAAAATAAAATGGCATGAAAATTCCTATAAATCCTACTTTTTTCCTACTAATTTTTTTAAATAAATAAGATCCTTAACTTTTTTTAAAAAATGTAATTTGCTAACTAATAACTAATAATACGCAATTTTAGGTAAAATTCGAACACCCATGTAATATTTTACGTGCAATAAAATCAAACCAAAAATGTTGTACAGAAGGAAGTTCTCAATAATATATAAATTTGATTTTCATGATATTTTTAATTTTACGAGACAATTTAAATAAAAAAATATTTTTTAAAAAGCAAGTAGATAATAAATGTTCCTGTGCATCGCACGGACACTGTACTAGTAGATAGATATAAATATAGATATAAATTGGAAGCTTGGACTACTTTTGGGCTTTGCATCTCCACTTGATAGGGGAAGCCCATTATAATTCCAAAAGGACTAATTCTCAACAACTACTGAAGAAACCTACTTCGGCTTCGTTAGGGTTCTGCAGATATTTACGGGGCTCCCTTTCCTTCACAGCCTTGTGGTCGTCTTCAGCTAACGCAAAACACCCTTCGTATTGCCCTCTGTTCTCCACCTGCATCATCTATCATGGCAAACAGTTTGTACCTCTTCTCTTCTCTTACTCCAACTATTTATCAAATTCATATTGCGTTCGATGGTTGGTTGACATGTTTTTCTTGATTTCCGATAATCAGCTGCGACGCGATCGTTTTTGCAAGTGGCTGCGACGGAGGAAGCCACGCCCCCCCTCAGAGTCGTTCAAATCGAAGGATTGGTACGCTTTTACTGCACACGCTTATTGTTGAGTATTTGCTTGATTCCATTTTTTTATTATTACTATTTTGGGATTTAGTTTTGGTTTCAGGCGATATTGCAGTTTAAAGTAGAGTTTCAAAAGAAATAAATGCGCAGAATTAAGGGAAACAGGATGGTGGGGGTGGACAGTAGCAACTAATTTTACCTGCTTTCCAGATTCATATATTATTGGTACCACAAAAAAGAAAAGGAGAAATCTTTTGGGTATTTAGGGAGTTATTGCTTTGGTTAATTTTTAGTCTCTCTCTTTTTTTTTGTGATTTAATTACTTGCAAATTTTGTTATTGACAACACATATGTGACAATCTAGTTCAATTTTGTTAGTACCGTCTTATGCTGTTTAAACTCCAGTGACATGTATTCAAGTTGCCCATTACTGTCGTCTTATATTTCCGAACAACTATATACAGGTTATTATAAAAATAATAAAACATTGCAAGGAGTTTTCGCCAGCTTTAGTAACTGGACAGCTGCTTGGGTTAGATGTGGGCAGTGTTCTTGAAGTCACCAATTGTTTTCCGTTCCCGGTACGCAAATTGCTGCTGCTATTATTATTTAGCACCTTACTAATGAAGTGAAAATATATACTGTAGCACAATATATGATGGTCTGGGAATGTCTTACTTAATATGCTGCAGATTCGTGAGGAAGATGAAGAGATAGAAGCAGAAGGTGCTAATTATCAGCTTGAAATGATGAGATGCCTTAGGGAGGTCAATGTTGATAACAACACTGTTGGATGGTAAGTACACTCCCCCCACGAGCAAGCAGCACCTTGGTCCAATCCATTCCTCAACACTGGATACATTCTTCCCGAAATTTGTATGACGTATAATTAAATACATCCTACTTTTCCTTAAGATGTAGCCTGCGAGGCAATACATTTCTGATAAAGGGGACTGAATAATTTTATGTTTTGTTCCTCAGGGACTGATTTTCCTCGAAATGGAAATTTTGCCTTTTTGTGTTCAGTTGCAACTTTAAATCTATAATCTAGACCAACTAAGTACCCTTGACCCATGCATGAGCTGCCTGCATGCCTCCTTTTTTCATTGCTTTGCCCATAGTGTCAGCTTAAAGTTAAATTCAAATGAGGATTCATTGTAAATTTGCCTATTCCCTTTTGTTTTTTGGTTTATTTTTATTCTTTGGAGTCTCACCAAATTGATTAATTAAGATTCTTTAACTTATTGCTAAAGGGTGTCATCATTGAGTAACCACATCTTAGTGAGTTCTTGAATTTTTCGCAAAGAAGAACCATTTTAATAAATTCAGTTACCCTTTTTCTTTTTGATTTTTTGAATTCTTGTATCTCGTTAAAAATCATTATAAATGAGAAGTATTGTATTGTTGCTCATTTAAATATCCTGATTGGGTTTTTTCGGTTGGTCCATGTGTAAAATATTGGTTCATACTTTTCTTAGAAAGTTTGCTGGTTACCTTATTTAAAACATTGGTTCACACTTCTCTTCGAAAGTTTGTTGGTTACCATATTCAGTTGAATACATTTAATGAGTGGTTTTTCTGAAAGGTTAGTAATAGACCTTTTTATAACTATCTTGCAGGTATCAATCAACTTTGTTTGGCTCCTTCCAGACAGTGGAATTGATAGAGACTTTTATGAATTATCAGGTATTCTAGGTGGAGTAGTAATATCTTGGTCCATCTTCTGTTAGGAGAACACTGAAGTATAAGTTATCTTTATTAGTAGGTGTGATAACCAAGGAGCTATATATTGTTTAATTTTAATTTCGTAATATGTCATTATCATTTCCACATGGAAAAATAGCTTCTTTCGGNTTTTTTTTTTTTTTTTTTTCGAACTTCATTTTTTTGCCTTTTCCTTTTCATTTATATATTGCATGTTATTGAGAAGGCATATGAACTCTTTGATGAACTGAGTAATAAATATATGTGCTTATGCAAGATGACCCACTTAAAGTTTACCAAATGATTTGGTCCTTCCAAAAGTTGAACTTGGTCTGGAATTAAGATAAGTAGTACTACTTCACATTCATTCTCTAAAATCCCTGCATGATGCTATCGGAATGTTGTTATACATTTCTTGTTATGGCTATGGTCGATCCTTTTTGTTTTATTGACTTTCAAGGAAAAAAATTCTAGCTCTGCTGCACGAGCCTCATATGGAGACACACACGCTTCCTATCAGGGAGGTGGTCTTGTAGTTGCAAAGGGTTTCTGATGAATACTTTTGAGTATGTATGGCCATCCGTAAAATTACACTGTCTCATAGGGCCTAGGGGTGTTAAGCTATCCTTTGAAGTAAACTGCTAATCATAGCATGTGTGGGTCTTGGTTTGTACATGATTAGTGGTGATGCCATAGGTTATGCAAAGTGACTGAACTGCATGGTAATTGTTGGGTAACTTTCATGTGACTAACCTGTACGATCCTTGTGGTTGTAGGAAAATATTAGACGTTGTGTCTGCATAATTTATGATCCATCAAGATCTAACCAAGGTGTCCTGGCTCTAAAGGCATTGAAGCTTTCTGATTCATTCATGGAACTTTATCGAAGTAATAACTTCACAGGAGAGAAGTATGGGTTTGCACTGTTATTTCTCTGTATTATTTTGGTGAGTGAAATCTTTATCTATTCATTCATGAGTGTGGTAATGGCTTGCCTTTTCAGGTTAAGGGAGAAGAATCTTTCTTGGGTTGATATCTTTGAAGAGATCCCTGTAAGATCTTAATTATCTGTCTCTGATTAATTGATTCAATTATGAAGCATATGTCTTAATTCAATTATTAGCTACATTTTTCTTGATGAAATTTCCTTGAAGTGATTGTGTATTAAACTCTGAACTTGACTTTAATGGGTGTCATAAGTTACATGGAAACACACTCGGTTTGTTACTCAGATACTCAATTTGGTATTAACATCAATCTTCTATTTATTGAGATGTACGAACCCGTTTAACAATTCAAAGGGAGGAATTTATATACATTGATCCTATATAAACTTAAATTCATCATGCCGAAGTGGTATCAGGTTTATATTCTAAGGGTCTCCGGTCAATATCTTTTAATTGCACTAATTGTTGATGGATTGGCTATTGACTGAACTTGCTTGTTTTTTCCCTTTTTATTCTGTTTTTGTCTGTTGAGAATCAATATTTTCTAATTACAAGAACTAAACAGATGACTGAATGATAGTATTAAGCTAAAGTTCTTGTTTTTGTACAGATTAAGGTTTCAAATTCTGCTCTTGTCAGTGCTTTTATGACGGAGCTTGAGGCAGATACTCCTGTCACACAGGTAACTGGATTTCTGTTTAGTGGCCTTCCTTTTATATTTTTGATGTTTATAAATATAGTAATTTTGGCATGTTAATACGTGGCAGTGTGATTCTGAAAGGTTGCAATTGTCAACCAGCCCATTTTTGGAGAGAAATGTGGAGTTTCTGATTGAGTGCATGGATGACTTGTCAATGGAACAACAAAAGGTTAGCATTTCATTTTGCTTACACATACACTACCCTATTGGGCAAACAGCATAGTAAAACCTTCTGTTTTCCAGTTCCAATTCTACTACAGGAATCTTTCTCGTCATCAAGCCGCACAGCAGGCCTGGCTTCAGAAAAGAAGGTAACTGTTCACCACAAATTCACGGTTTTCTTGAAAATTATTAGTTAGGGTGTGCTGCTTTTCATGTTGTATTAGAGGTGCCCTTTTTTCTCTTTATTGAGGGGGTTTATGAAGCTTTGCATTTTTTTTAATAGTAGTAATATATCTCGGTTTCTGGAATAAGCCAAGTGTTCTTTAATAAATGATGATTCATACATGAATCATCATGCCAATGCAAGCTGCTTGTCCTAAACTTTCATTACTATTGATTCATACTTATGATTTGGCTGGTTATGTGTAGGGCTGACAACATGGCGAGGAAGAATGCTGGGGAAGAACCATTACCTGAGGAGGATCCTTCAAACCCAATCTTCAAACCTATTCCTGAACCATCAAGATTGGAGAGTTTTCTGATAACAAATCAGATTGCCAACTACTGCAACCAAATTAATGGGTACGTTTCCAAGTTATAAGAAAATAGGTTCTAAAAATTCTACAATTTCTTTCTGCCCAATGATTTGTGTGTAAGCACTATTTTGTTGTTAGTGGTCAATTACTTCTCCATACATGTTGTCTGCAAACTTCTTTTAGATAAACAACCTAC